CCTCCCAGTCGGCCTCCCCGATGTGGTCGATGCCCGTTACTTCGATTCCGAGCGGCGCGAACCACTGCAGTCCCAAAATGCTGGGGCGGTCTCGGTCCACGATCGTCAGGGGGAGCCTTGCTGTGCGTCCTTTGAAAGTTACCTCGAACTGGCCTGTTCCGACTACCGGTATGCGATTCCCCTGGTAGTCCTTGAGGATTAGGCTCTGGCTTTCCAGTCCTCTCCTGTGGATTGTGGTCACCAAGGCGCTTGATTTCCCGCCATGCAACCATGGAGAGGTAGGACCCGGAGTCCACCTCCATCTTGCATGGCTCGCCCTCGATGCCCACTTCCACATATACTTTCTGGGCGTCTGCGCTGGATGAGTGGCCGATGACGACTGTCTGGTGGGTTTCCTCTCTCCGCCAGTTCCCGCCGTCTCGGCGGCCCCGTCCGTCTCGGCTCCATCGGTTTTCGGCTTGGCGGTCTCTGGGCCTGGGGGGGGGGTGCCGTCTCGTCTCCGGTCGCTGCCGTCTCGCTGCCGGGGGCTGTAGTTTTTCTTGAGGCGGCAGACTCGGGCGATGTGGCCTCTTTTATCGCAGTGCCGGCATATTGCATTGAAAAATCAGCACTCCGATCGAGGGTGGTCGCCTCCACACCCGGCGCACGGTTGCCCCGACTTAGGATTCCGTCGATCGCGCCGGTCTCGATCCGCCTGGAGCCGATGCACGTCCTCTTCCTCGTCCGTGGTGTCGGAGGTGGAGTCGAGGTCGCCATGGTGTGTGGTGGTCTCTCGGCGGCTTGCTTCGGAGCGCGTCTCGGTTGCCGTGCCTGCCTCGGTGGTCACATTGTGGTCCCCGGCGTCGGGCCTCTGCATTCGAGCCGCCGATTTCCGGGTCGCCTCGGCTGCGGTGGCATCTGCAAGGACGTCGGCGAGGGCAATGTCGCCTTTTGCCATCAGCCGGCTCTGGAGGACTGGGTCTCTGAGCCCCAGGACGACGCGGTCTCGGAGTGCCTCATCCATATCCATAAACCCACACATGCCCCCGAGATTTCGCAGGTCAGCCACGAAGTCGCCGATGCTCTCGCCCGCTCGCTGGTCTCGCCGATAGAAGTCGTGCCGCCTGATGACGGTGAGCACGTCGGGGGCATAGTGGTTTCGGAGCAACGGCTCGAGATCGGCCCTGTCCATCGTTTTTACGTCCTCGGGTTTCGCGAGGGCTTTTGCCATCTTAAATACTGTGGGCCCGCAGTGTGTGAGGAAGACAGCTCTTTTCTTTTGCCCGTTTGCATCCTTTAGATTGCTACTTTCGAGGAACATCAGGAATCGGTCGGTGTACGATTCCCAATCCTCAGTAGCCGGGTTAAAGGGTGCGGGTGGTACGATGCTGGCCATCTCGTCGGTCTCGTTTCCTCAGGACACGTGCTCGATGGGGATCAGGTTTGGCATCCCACCTTCGTCGCCAGTGTTGTGTCCGTCGCAAGGAAGGAGACTTGGAGCCAGTGACTTTAGTTCAGCTCATTTATTGATTCCCGAGATCGGCCCGGGTCCGAAAGAAAAGCGGCGGCTTTTATTCTTTGGCCGCGGCGGCCGCGGCCAATGGCACCGCTTTGAATCTCCCGCGATTAGTTTCCACCAATCGCGGGAGATTCGCGGCGGGCCAATCAGTGCGGCTCGCTCGACCAATCAGCTCGCCATGCGTCTTGACCAATCACTGTGCGGTTCTACAAGAATGGTAATGACCGTACAGAACATTTTGGTACACGTTTTTTTCATAAAATGATAACAATAATGATAATCATATAACAATTCATTTCATTCTCCAGAAATAATTTCATGGGATGGGAAATCTCAAGGTGGTAAGAAAGTATGCAAAAGTATGTGCAATGAAATAGATTTTATGCAAAAACCAGGAATTATATTAAAGATTATGCATTCCATCTTACTTTGGCATCCTATGCAACTGTCATATAACGGTTGAGTTTTAATTACTACAGCATTATTTGCTAATTTGTAATATTACCCTATCTAAGTAATATCTAGTATTTACCTAGATAAATACTAGTATTTAGTATTTATCTAGTATTTACAATATCTAGTATTACCTTAGCAAGTCAGTAAAATTAAAATAGCAACTAGCAATTTTATTTATTTATTTATTTTTATTTGATTTGATTTGTCAATCACTTACAAGATAATAGAGATAAGGATAAACATAAGTATGAATGCAGGAAATAGGTACGAACAATTGGGGACAATAGGACAGGGACTGTAGGCACGATTGTATGCTTATTAACATATCATGTAAAGGTATCACCTGAGTCTTTTTTCTGAACTTGCATTTTATTTGTTATAAAATACATGTTTGCCCATTAATAATCAAAACACTGAAAGGGACCAAAATTTGTCAACCACAATGTATTTATGTTTCCCAAGTTAATGGGAACACTAAATCTAGCTTGATGTTGACAATTTTTTAAACATCACTTAGACATGGAGATATAGAAGATATATACAAATCTAAACTTATGAAATGATTTCTTCTATTCACCTCAGAAATCATGTTGAAATATATATTTGATATTGTCTATGTCACATTTTCACACTTTTATATTTGATAATAAAAGAAATAAGTCCTGCACATGGCAACCTGAATGAAATATAGGATAGGAAACTGATAAACAAATGGATCAATTCAAACTTAGCAGACTTAAATAATAACAAACTCCAGCAGTTGCCATTTGCCCTACAAGAGATAAAAGACTACTGATATTTACAATAAACCAGCACTTTCATGCAGCTGGTTTTTTTTCTAAGTTTGAAAATCAAATAAGGGATTGGTTCCAACCTAACCACTGTCTCTCAATACTAAGTTCAAAGTTAAGTCATTCTCCCATTACATATTCAATTACACACCAGACACAAGTCACTAACCCTTGCCCTCTTGTCTGCCCTTTACTCACTTCTTTCTGTTATACTGGAACACACTTTTAAGAGGACAAAGTACTGTAATGCTCCTTTCAGTTGCTACTGTAACTCCACTGTCTTCAAAATTCTTGCAATGAATTAAATACATCTGCCACTTTGTTCAGAGATTTTTTTTATCCATATACAGTTACTATCAAATAAAAAATGAGTAGGCTAAAATATTCTTCTGATTAAGACCTACTGAATTCACTCTTGTCTGAGTAAATTGCACATAATTAATATGTTAGATCAAGAAAATGGTTCAAGGAAAGGAATCCTACACCACTGTTGACATTTTAGTAAAATTGAATGTATTAACAGACATGATTACTTAAATTTGACTCTGACTTACAAACCGTTCAAAAGTGACAGTACTAAATTCTTACTGACAAAAATGGATGACCTATGCTGAATAGTAACAAGTTGTAAAGGTTTATTTCAAAACCATGTTTTGAATACTGTATCCTTCTACCAGCCTATATAATTCCTACATACAGATACTGCTATATGGTCAACATGGATACTTAATTCCATGGGTGGATTCCTCTCTAGAGTAATATATATGGATATACCATTTAATTGTAATGATTTTATAATTAATAATAATGGGATATTTGTGATAAGTAAAAGATTCAATTTGAAAAAAGCTATGGTACTAGCTGATTTTGAACCCTTTTAATGATAGGAGTATATATGAAATTATGAACAAACCAAATTCTGATGAAAAAGTATAACAACAAGGAAGGAAATAATTTCATTTCAAACTGGGTTATATTTCTTAGAACAAGTAGTCCAGGGGTGGGCTGCTGGGGGTTCACAGGGGTTTGGAAGAATCCCTGGCTAAGATTCTGCATAGTTTGACTGGCTGGTCCCGCCTCCCATCCCTCCTAGGAGTCTCCACATGGCAAGTAAGTGCAGAGCGCGCGCGGAGGCTCAGGGATGGTGAAAAACAGGTCTCCTGGAAGTTTGGGAAGGCAGGAAATGAGCCCATGTCCAGCTTCCAGAGAGCCTCCGGAGTCCAGGGAGCCTGGACTAATCACACTAATCAATTAAAACAATAAATCAATTAAACCATTAATAAATTATTTTATAGAAATTGATTATCTAATCATTGATATAGGTAATGAGGTAGAAAAGTTGTAAGTTTTGAGGTAATGGATTAATCAGTGTTTGATTAAAGTAATGAGGTAGTATTGAGAGTCTGAAAGGAAAGGTTAATTGTTTTACTAGAAGCTGTTATTTACTGGGTTGGACGAATTTATTGCTCCGATGGCCGCTGCTATTACGCTGTAAACAATAGGCTGTAATGGAATGTTCAAAAGCACGCTGGATTATTGAAAGAGAGCAAAACTCACTGAATTAAAACACTTTAACTACAATCAATATGTCTCTGAATAAGATTGTTTTCCAATAGTTTCCCAAAGTTCTTCAAGTTGAGTAGTAGTAAAAAACAATCCAGAAATTTGGGTTAACCAATCCAATCTGTCCTTTACTTTTAAAGTTACTTCTAGCTGCAATATCTTTTTTTTTCTTTAATAAATCTGACAGTCACTCCCGATCTTAATCGCAGCTAATTTCCTCCTTTGAGTCCCACTTTCCAAGGAAAATTCCACTGCAGAAATTGGAGTGATTCTTACCAAGACTAAGCACGCTGTTACAAGATCTTTCCTTTCCTTTCTTTTTCACTTCCGTCTCAGCTGCCTTCCCGGCTTTGATTCAGCCACGCTGGTGGTTCTCTTCTTGCTAGGGCTGAGAGTGAGAATGACTGGCCCAAAGGTCTAAATATTTTCTCCCTAAGACAAAACTTGAACTTCCCGTTCCTAGTTTAGCACCTGTTGTGCATATGCTTCAAGTCAGTATTAACTTTTGGCAATTGCCTGGACAAATCCCTGCAGTCGTCTTAGCAAGATTTCAGAGATTGTTTGCCATTGCTGTCTTCCTAGGGCTGAAAGAAAGTGACTGACCCAAGTGCCATAGGTAGGACTAGAATTCACAGTCCCCCGTTTTTAACCTGGTCCTTTTAACCACTACTCTAAACAATATGTTTTACATTTCACCATTCTGGTCTTCCTTTAAGGACAAGAACAAATGAGTCATGAGATCAATTCCACCTTAGTAAGGACTATTTTAACAAGTGGTATAGCTTGAAAAGTCCTGATGAAATGACTGGTAGCCCTCTTCAAGTTCTCTGATTCCTTAAAACTATATATTGAACAACTAGGCAATTAATTGCCACATCAATCTGACAACCTTTCAGGTCTAAATATATAAAAATAACTTTTATCAGATAGCCTGAAATCTGCATGGGAATTGGGTTTAAAATCTATTACCTGCTGATATTCTGCTAAAATTTTGGCAGGAGATATTTCCAAAATGGAAGAGATCAAATTATTTAATCATTTACCCCTGTGATTCAGATGCTCTCCCCATTTAATTTGCTAAAGACATACTATATAATAATAAAGCAATGTTGGTATTTAATAGATTGAAAACAAGACAGACTGAATCATATGTGGAGCATTCTATCCCTTTGGAAGTGATATCTCAAATGCAGAAGGACTATAGCACAACAGTGTTTTAATCTCCCTGCAAAGAAGAGCAACAAAACAGACAGAATTGAAGACTGACAGGAACAGATGCAGACTTACCACTTGAACAGTTGGGTCCACCCCAGCCAGGCTCACACTGACAGGTGTTTGGAGCAATGCAACGGCCATGAATGCATTTATCAGTACAGTGAGCTGTCAAAGAAACAGGGTGAGTGAAACAGATAATGAAAAATCAAAAAGAATAAAAACAATGAAGGGGCAGGTTGCATAAAAGCAACAATGAAGGTTGCTTTTCTGCAACCTAGCCATTTCCAATTTCCTCTTAAAATTAAGAGGCTAAGTTGTTCAATTCTTGTTTGAATTAGTTCTCCATATATCATTATTCTATCATCCATCTATATGCATTTATTTACTAATTGTCCCAGTTTGCTACAATTAAAACAAAAAGACAAAACAAAAAGAAATTAAGAAATTAATATTTTAACCATGTAAATAAATATTCCAGTGATGAAAAACAAGGAACACGGGTATTAAGTAATATTAGCATTTCATATAGGGAAGTTTCCTAAAATCTAAATTTCATATTTATTAAATATCATTCATACAGAGCTTTCTAATCAAGCACTGAATTCATAAATTCCTTTAAAGATTACCATTTCTAAGATAAAAATGCATCCAAAGAAAGGTCTCCTACAATCTTTTCTTTATTTCTTGATAAATTAATGTAAAACAGTACCTTGGTAATTAAAACAGAAACTTCTGAAAATTGTCATGTTTTAGGTAATGTTAGGTCAATTTCTGCAAACAGTCAGTGCAAACAGCTTCCTGCCCCCTCACTTTTCTATTTTTATCATCACCTATTTTATTCTTTGATCACTTATCTGAAATAATACAAATACTAATGTTTCTTATATGAATATGAAACTGCAGTGGCATAATTTAGTGTTACTTCCCTAAATTTTTTTTAAAAAGAACACCGCTGCCAAGAGATAAATCATAGATTAGAAGCAATTAGACTATGGCTGGTTGCTTAACAACTGTTCCAGGTCACAGCAGCTTTGGAACAGATGCCTTACAGCAGGAGTGGGGAACTACAGGATGGCCCCTTTAGGACTTGTGGACTTCAACTCCCAGAATTCCTGAGCCACCATGGCTGGCTCAGGAATTCTGGGAATTGAAGTCCACAAGTCCTAATGGGGCCATAGTTCCCCACCTCTGCCTTACAGTATAAAGCACTCCCAACACCATTGTAAAAAGACCTATCAGTTCCCCTGGTCACATGATTCCATTTCAGGTACTTGGAAACCTGTTCACATTATCGACTGGCTTCCAAATGCCCTGCAATCATGTGATCACCTTTTGCAATCTTGTCTATCCGCTTCCCCAGAAAAAGAAGATTGCAAGCAGAAGGATGTTGGATTTGAGATATGTTGCCCTAGCAAATCCAAGGGATTTCTCCTCCCCTCCATGCAGGGAGCAGAAATCCTTCCATACACTGGAGAAACAAGATCTCAAATCTGGCAAAAAGGCCAGCATTCTAAGACTTCCAGAACTATGCTGTTTGCTAGTGTTTTTGCCAGATTGAAGGGCCATTCCTCTAGCATGCCAAGAAACTTTCAAGGGAATGGACTTCCACTCTGTCAAAATCACTATCAAATAGTCTCATTCTTCAATCATTTTCCCTAGTGAGCAGAAAAAAGGTCCTGCCTGCTGGGTGTCATGGGAGGCTGGGGTTCTGCTTAACAACCACAACTGGGAGAACCAGGATTGTGGTCATTGAACAAAGCAGTCACATATCTCATTTAACAGCTGCTTCATGCAATTATTGAGATTCTGGACCCAAATGGAGAACTACCCATATAATGATATTTATGATGGGGTTGCATTGAAAGAAAAACTTTTGAAGATAAAAAGATGTTTTTATCATAATTTTCCAACACATTTAACAATAAATATAAAATATGTTAGAAGGATGTTAGTCATCTTTAAAGAACAATGTCTAAGATCTTAAGAAAATATAACATCAGACCACTAATCTTCTACATTTGAATTTATGGAAAAATCCATTAAACTAGCCACTGTTGTCCAATAAGTAATAAGGTAAGTATTATCTGTCTTATTTCAGACAGATGCCTAATTTCTATAGATTAATAATAGTTAATAATGTGTAGAGTAAAAAGTAAGCATATGTTGTTATTTTCTGTCATAAGATTTCTAGAACAAGATTCATAATTTTGAGGGGGGGGGGTGGTATATTTGTATTTTAGAAGCAAGGACTTGTAAAATGGCTGCTGTGTAGGACACAGCTAATAGAAGACATTGTCTAATGTCTCAAGATTTTTTCCACTATTGCAGCATTCTGTAGAACAAAAGTTATCTGACAAGATAAGATGGTATCAAAAGAGATATCAAAAATTGGTCTCACAAACAAATATCACTTAGAAAAGGATGTTTCATTAGATCTACAAAAGAAACTGGATGAGGTTTTAAAATTGAAAGGGGGAATACAAATGACAAACCCAAAGAGTAAAGTGAATATTTTTTTCTATAGGATTCACAAAAGAGGCTTGTTAAAGCCTTGAAGAACTCGGTGAAAGAAGACAAAGAAGAAATTAAGAGAAATCAAATCTTATAACAATATTTGAATGAAATAAAGCTTAGACCAGCTTTATTATTTATTTAAAGCTTAACATGTCAAACTGGTGGCCCGTGAGGTGGTTATGGTCCGTGCATGCCACAGCCACCCTGGCTCCGCAAGGGCAAGAAACATCCTGATACATCATGATATGGCCCGTGAGGCAATCGGGTTTGACACCCCTAGCTTAGACTGATAGAAGTAAAAGGAAGGAATATAAGGATTGTTTATTTAATCAAAGTTAAAACAAGATATATTGTTACCATAGTTCTGGCAGTCTTTTATGGACTTTCTGTTGACATCGTAACTTAAAATAGTTTTAGGGAGTTGTTTATAGATAAGAGATGTGAAATGATAAATGTTTGTAACTTTAGTGGAGGTGAAGAATCATTATGTTTGTTTATACTTGTATTAAGAAAATCACTTCTAAATACAATTTTCTCTTTATTATATTCTTACTTTTCTCTTTCTTCTCTCTTGTTCTTTTCTTTTTCCTTGCACTTTTTATTCTTTATTTCTATACTTTCTTCTTCAAGTTTAATTAGTATCATATTTTACTATTATAATCTGAATATATTCAAAAAAAGGAGTTGATCTGCGGAATTACTTCAGGCCATATGAAGCAGTGGAAGAGAAAAGGGGCAGCAATCCCATGTGTGCCCAAGAAATAAAGTGATCTTTTGTTAATCATTAAAAAAATACAAACAGATGGGATCGTTATGGAAACTGGTGTTTAGGAATAATAGCTTGCTATCATGCCCTTCTCACAGTCAGTGTTTGTGGAATATATCTTTTCTTGCATAAAAAGAGACTATTGTTTTGTCTTTAGTTGCTATGCTGTTCTATGACTAAACTAAAGGATATTCCTTCATTTATTTAGTTTTAATTTGCTAAAGAAAAACACTATCCATTTTTAATCTTATAGTAGTATCCTCCTGACTGACTGACAGCTGAAGAAATAATCAGTAACTCTGCTAATTCTGGCACCAGAGATGCTAGACAAGAAATCAAAACTGCCAACTGGAGCTGTCAATCAAAATTACGTACACATTAACATTGCACTTCACTTTGAAGGAAAAAGAATGCAGGAAGGTGATTTAAATCATAAAAAGGTGTATTAAACCTCTAAAATGCTGACAAATGGGATGCAAGTTCTCAATAAACCTCATAAGAAGTCTATCCAGGCAAATCAGGCTTGTATCTTCAAGATAAACTCTCTGCATGCCACAAATCACCAAGTTCTATACGCTTCAATTATGTGCATTGAGACTCAAATGAAAGAGCTGCTGTTGTGTTTATGCCTATATCGGTATTATTTTAATTATTTATTTGTTAATCTACAATTATGAACAAGCCATTTCCCAATGTCTAGGACTCTAGGCTGTATGGTAATGCAAATAATCTTAATTTGAAACTTTTTAAAGCTCTTTTTAACGATGGCTGGTTGGATAGTTTTCCAACTGGAATTACCATCTGCAAGTATAGGATAATAAAATAAGAAAAAAACACTGTTTTAAAAAGAAAATTAATGGCAGGAGCAAAGGACACTGTATGCAAACATACGTTTCTGTTGACCAGCAGGATTGCTTCAATGCACACTGTAACACATTCAGTGCACTAAACTACAATACTGCATACAGTTTTGGTTGCCACAACATAAAAAAGATGCTTTAGACACTTAGAAAGAGCAACAAAGATGATTAGGAGACTAAGGCTAAAATATATGAAAAACAGTTGCAGGAATTGGGTATGTCTAGTTTAATGAAAAGAAGGACTAGGGAGTGACATGATAACTATGTTCCAATATGTGAAGGGGCTGCCACAAGGACGAGTGGAACAACCTATTCTCCAAAGCACCTGAAGGTAGAACAAGAAGCAACGAATGGAAACTAATCAAGGACAGAAGCAATCTAGAACTAAGGAGAAATATCCTTACTCTTATAACAATTAATCAGTGGAACGATTTCCCTCTGAAAGTTGTGGGTGCTCCAACATTGGAGGTTTTTAAGAAGAGGTTGGACAACTTTGTCTGAATGGGTTTCCTGCCTGATTAGGGGGTTGGACTAGAAGACCTCCAAGGTTCCTTCCAACTCTGTTATTCTGCTAAGACCTTCCCCCCTCCCCCATCAATTAGTGTCACAGAAGCATCCCATAACTGTAAACCACCATATTTGTGCCACTGCTCTTCTAAAGACATTTTGTTTCTTGGGGAATTCTCAGTAGCATTCTCATTAACATATTATCAAGAGTTGGATATTCTTATGACAATAACTTTACTTACGAATGCACATTTCCCTGCTTTCATAAAATCCTGGGCAACACTGAGATTTCCGTCTATACATAGTCTTTTCTCCATGCCTATAAGCGGTTCGATAGCTGATTCTGTTAAAATATGGACATGTAAAATTTGTGAACAACTATTTCAAAAGATCCAGCTATGGCTATTTATGGATAAATTGGATTGTTCTATAAATCAGCTACATCCCTTACAAAGAAAGATAAACAACATTACCAGCAAACTCCATTATCTGCAAATGGAGATCCTTTTCAAGGTCTGTGACAAATACTTCAGAATTGCAGCTGATGTTATATGGATTTGTAATTTACATTTGTTATTAAATATTTTAACTAATGAATTAGTACACATTCAGAGCAATATTTAATTTTTAAATACACAAAACTATTGTCAGACAAGGGAGCACAGCAAGAACAAACTATACTTTTCTCATGTGTCACCATTTTACAAATTCAGAACTTTTAAAACTCAAAATGATTCAACATTTAAAACAAATTCTGAATTATTCAAAAAGAATCAGTAAATAAATACATGCATTCATTTATTAAAGCAATTTATACAGGGGTGGGATCCAACCAGTGTAACTACTGTTACACCGGCGGGTGGGCAAAAACAGCAGCAGACATAGAACCGGTTCTATGTATGCTCTCCATTTACTACTTTTCAGAGCAACCAGTTCTACAGAAGTGGACAGAACCAGTAGAATCCCACCCCTGAATTTAAATAACTGCCCAATTCACACACAGTGGCTCCACTATGCGTAGCTGAAGCCATAATTTCACTTCTGCCCAATACAAGGAGGGCTATTAAATACAGAGTAATTATAACTGAAATTTTCTGTTCTCAAATAATAATATTATATCCATTTTACTATAATTATATTTTTAGAAAAAGAAGAGATCTTTGCAAGTCATATATTCCTCTTTAATAATTCATTTCAAAATTCAGGATAATATTTTCAAGGCTATCTTGAAAGATAGATAATTTATACATGTAAATATCCATATCATCTGATTTTGCAAATGCTATCAATGTGCCACTATGCTTCAACACATTTCTACTGTTTTCAACATATATCAACTATTAAGTACTTATAAAAACATCACTTTAAAAGGGTAATCAAAATAGAGTTACTAAAAATCACCTGTGTCGTGTACACTTAAACCAGTTCAGTATGTCTGTACAGCTGGTGTAGTAAATCTGATCAAAAGGATGGGGATAGGATTCTTGCACTGTAACAGAATAACTGGACAGAAAAAAAGGAATAAAATTATTAAACATGCAATTCGTTTGAGTAATTAAGTGAAGAAATTTCAATAGGATGGAAATAAACGGTTAGACGGGAGACATTATTGCTGATAGTGAAAATAATTTCATAAAAATATTTACATTCCGCACTGCAATGGCCCTGAGGTTAAACGTAAAGGTGAATAACAATGGGGGGCATTGCAACAGCCCTTACTTTGAGTGGGGGTGGTAAGTATCTTTTAGTGGATCTGTTGTAACTTTGAATGTCTATTGACCAATCATAAGCCAAGGACTATCTGTACTGTTAAAATGGGACAAGCTTAATTCAAGTGAACCTATCTTTTCAAGTTTATCTAAACAATTCATTTTTTAAAAAAAATCAAATATACAATATCTTACAAATCTAATAAGAACCTACCCATTTTTTATACCAACTGTTTATGATAATCCAAGAAAGTTCATCCCATTCTATGCCAACTTAGACAATGTAAGTCCCAGACACTAGAGTAGGATGCAGATTGCAGCCTTTAGCTAGGAATTCTGCTTATTAAATTCAGATACAAGATTATTTCAATATACTTAATATATTTACTCTTGCACACCCTTGAATATGAGAAGTCACATGAAAGGTTGCTATACTTAGAAGAAGAAAAAACCACTAGCCAGATTCACAGTTTTTTATTTTTTTTCCCTTCAAGCTGATTGTATTAGAATAGTGTCAGCTGGTGCTCCATTCAAAATCCAAGAAAGAAATACTTAGACTCTTTTAATTAGAGAAAAGATATCTTTTACTGGAAATCAAGTGGTAGCAACAAAAGAATTCTGAATCTGAGAAAATGGGCGTGTAAATCACATATACAAAGTATGGCAATGTTCCCACCCCCGATAGTTCAAATGGTTCTTCCAATTAAAAGTTGTGAATATCATCATGTGGACATCTCCAGGTGGTGATGAGGCTTCTGTCCGTTGACCTTGGCATATTTTGATAAAGGTTTGCAGCTGCGCATAGCATAGAAGAGAAAGCAAGGAATAGAAACCTAAGCAAGAATGTATTCCCTCCCCCCAGTTTATACAATTCAGTTTGTAACACCTTCAGCTCACTTCCCATAATCTCCCCCCCCCCCCCCCCCGTTACTTATGACAGCCAAAAGATGCAAAGCAAAGGGAGAAAATCTTGAAGGCTGACAAATAGTTTATCAAAGAAAAAGAAGACACATTCTGCTGATTCTGCTTTTTCCATTTATGAGCCCAAGGACATCCTCAGAAAATTTAGAAGCGAATTATTGATCACATCAAAACTACAAACAACAATTACAGTATGCATTGGTACATGTTTGATTTAATTTTTATATTATTGAATACTATAAAATAATAAAATGCATTATTTTATGAGCATACAATGAAATGATGAATATTATGCTTGGGTACATAGTTCTCCAGATGTTTAGACTGTTTGGGACAGTTTTGTCTAGCTATTGAGTCTTTCCCAAAGACCTGGGATAGGCAGATGTACAGTAATTAGTCAATGATATTAAAGGATGCAAGGATGATATTACAGAATGCAAGCTGTTCCAAATAGAGCTGACTTTTGCAATTAAATGATGATGATCACAATAGTGATTTTGTCAATGCCAATAGGGTTCAAGTGGCATGCTAGATATTTTGAGACTGCATCCAAGGCACCATTTATTATTGGATCTACCTTTGCTTTCATTTGCCACAGTTGTTCTACTTATATTTGCAGGACCTTCAGACTTTTTATTGCTTCTTATCAACAATTGTTAAGTTTGGGGTAATTTGTGGCAAGTATTTGTCCCACAGTACTTTAGTTTCTTCATTTTCTATTACTTCATCTACTTTGTGGTCCAGCAATTCTTGTTTGCAGGCAAATGATATTTCTTGCAGATATTGCAATCTTCTTGGGCAGTAAATAGAGTCTGCCTACTTCATAGATGAGGGACATCATTGATTGCTTCTATTTTTGTTTCATACTTGTACCCTGTTTTAGTAGTTTTATACCATTCATAAATATACATCCATACACTTGTGGCTTGGTTTTATATTTTTTAACATAGTCATTTCATAATGTCACCCTTGTCTTGCTATTCGCATGTAATGGAAATTTTACATAGATACTGATTAAAATAATCATGCTAGAAGAATTATTGATTAAAAGTAATGTTACCTCTCCCAGTGGCTACACACATTTGGATCCTCAAGATTTAGACATAGAGTTGAGACTATCCAATGGTTCAAAAGCATGAGCATGAAATGAACAAAAGTATCCAAATAAAGAACCATCTTTTCAACAAAATGCCTGTAAAAAGAGAAAAGAAATGGATTGATAATATTAATGGTCAGGTAATATGCAAGCTGTTATAAAGTCATATACTTTGGGGTAAACAACTAAAGCCAGTCCTGCTATGCAATAGAATGAGAAAACCTGCTTCATGCAGAATCTTAAGGAAATAATAGAAAGTGATTGTGAATGGTGTAACACAACTTCCCATGTGCAAATGCATTAAATTTCAGACTTATATTTCTGCTTAAACTATATGTTGGTTTGGCAGTGACAGCTCAGAGGTGGTATTCAGCAGGTTCTGGAGAACTGATAGTAGAAATTTTGAGTAGTTCGGAGAACCAGCAAATACCACCTCTGACTGGTCCTGCCTCCATCTATTCTATGCCTCCCAAGTCCCAGCTGATTGGCTGCGTCTTCTTTTGTTGCCCTGCACAGGAGAATGGAACTGGAAAGCAGGTTAGTGAGGTGGGGAGGGAATGGGGATTTTGCAGTATCCTTCCCCTGGAATGGTGTGGGAATGGAGATTTTACAGTATCCTTCCCCTGCCACGCCCACCAAGCCACATCCACCAAGCCATGCTCACAGAAACAGTAGTAAAACATTTTGAATCCCACCACTGTGGCACCTGTTTTAGTGACATGCAAGAGTTCAGAAATTAACATTACATCCTTTATTGCCTGTCTGTACTTTATGAAATGTCCAAGCAGTTTCAAGTTGAACTATAACTTTGTTTATTTACAGCAACAAACTATAACAACTCAGTCCTTAATCTGCTTTTCCTAATCAAAATTTCACCCTCCAGCTAAGTTCCAGATATTTTGGGAAGTGATAGTCAGCTCATCCCATGTCTGTTGGCTTCAGATTTATAGTTAATATAACAATAGATAAATAACCCAGCCCTGAGGTGAGTTAAGGGAGAAAGACAGTAAATTTGGGAGGAAATAAAAAGAGTATTAAGTTAGAAACCTATCAAGACATCAATTTTGAGTGTAGTAGATAAATCAATATATTCCAGTGTCTACAATGTACACCAGGCATATTATAGTTGTTTGCTTCTGCTTTCAATTTCTCAATACTTAAAATTTGTGAATTTATTTGTATCCTCATGTGTATTAATGTTTTAAAGCAGTGCTCCCCAATCCCTGGTCCGTCGGGCACCAGTCCATAGCAGGCCAGCAACTGGGCTGCACAAATAAGTGAAGTCCATTCCATGGGATGCAGGCAGCCTGCAAAACAACAACACCTTCGATCCATGGGAAAACCTTTCACCATGGGACCTGTCCCTGGTGCCCAAAAGATTGGTGGCAGCAAAGATAACTGTAATTTGTGAATTCAGATGTAAATTATGCTGATATCACTGATTACTTGATTTTTCAGTTTCTCACAAAATATTATCTTATTAACTGTGTAAATTGAAGTATAATGACAAACCGTAGTATAAAATTATATTGAAATGTGCCAGTAACTGAAAGCCAAATGAAATATAATGGCATGAACAACCATGGCTCTTGCTATTCTTTCGAGGAATTCATGATGTTGAAGTACAAATTTAAAGAGCAAAAGGACTAATTCCTGCTTGCAGAAAAAGACTCACATTCAATATTAAAACACATCTGATAAAAAACAACAACAACATAGTGGTATAGGACAACGGTAACAAGAGAAGGGACTACAGTTAACCACTCTGCTCCTATCTTTAAGCATGTCTAGATCCCCTGATCAACACCAACAATTTAAAGTATATAATTTTTCAATAGTGAGTCAATTACATCAAAAATAAATTAAAAATTGTACCCGCTTGTGCATTTTTATTTCAAACATGCAGTATTTCACTTATTAAGAAGGTAATTGTATTTCCTTTTTTAAAAATGTCAATAGTTTTCCTTCTGAATACATTTAACAATAACATAAAAATCAATGTGAAAAAGTTTTGAGCTATTTACATGAACTCCCTAGTGTAAAACATGATTGCATCCTAGATCTTTTGCCTAATTATTAAGAAAAATCAAAACAGAAAATCAGTACAGCTGATTAGCATTGCTAAAGCAGTATATTAGCAATAAAATGCAGAAGGTATATTTAACTCTTGCTGTTTCCAATGCTAAGGCATACATTTTAAAATGCTAAAGAGAATATGTTGAGAGTAAAGATTATTTAATAAATGCATCAAATATTTTATATATTTCAACCCTGAAAAACTGAAAATGTATCCTCTAAAGAAGATTTATACTTAAAATGCTGGTGATGTATATAATAAAGACATCTAATGACTACTACCATGTTTTCCCCAAAATAAGACCAGGTCTTATATTAATTTTTGCTCCAAAAGATGCATTAGGGCTTATTTTCCATTGGGTGTTATTTTGGGGCAACTATGGTACTAAATGCATCCATCTGGCTGACAATCTTACTTTGGGGATAGGGCTTATATTATGAGCATCCTGAAAAAAATCATGCTAGAGCTTATTTTCCAGTTGGGTCTTATTTGGGGGGAAACACGCTATTCAGGCTGTACTCAGCTTACTGTTGAGTGATAGAATAACTCAATATTAAATTATGTAATGAGAACATTTCAGAGTAATCAAGAAATGCATAAATAAGCTATTCCCTATTTAACAATGATAATTAGGACCGGCAACATCATCACTAAGCAACAGAGTCAAAAATAAGGATATCGCATGACTGCACCAACTTACAAAGATAGTTGTGGCAGTGATTAAGCAAACCATGCATAGTTCTTCAATGTAATGTTACATGAGCACTATTTGGAGAATCTCTTGCCAGATTCTTCATTACTTTTGTTTGTCAGAAGCTGGCAGTAAGGATCACAAATGGCAATCATGTGACTGTGGGCCTCTGCAACCATTTGCCAATTGCCAAGCGCCTGAATCTGGATACACTGTTGTGGCTGCATCTGTGAGGATCAGTCTTAAGTCTTGTTCTTATGTACTCTTGTAATTTCAAGCTGTTGCTGAATGAATGGTTATTCTGTTGTTAAATCTGTAATGACATTAATTATAATAGGAAGAATATAAAAGAAGCTGGTGATTTAGATAATTACTTTAAAAAAAATCAAAATCTTTATGAAGATACCATAAGTTTGAACTGAGGAGGCACTTCCTTGCATTGAGAAACAAGAAAAGAAGAATGTTTAGGAACTACTGTCCACTTTACATTGAATGATCCCAGACTGGCATATTCTCCATTAATCTTTTGATAGGAAATTCAGAAGTTAAATTCTTGGTGTGAGCAATAATGTGACTATATTTTTATTAACATAAGCAAAAAGGAATTTCAGTTTTCAAACAGAGATCCTTACAAAATATTTGAATATATTAAATCTGACTATATTCTCCTTTAGAAAGTAGATAATATTGATAAAGGATACTCTACACAAAGAGTTTTCATATATTTTACAACAATTATTATTGTTTCTAGTACAACCTAATTAACTACTGAGATATTGCATTAAATAAACAAAATTTTAGTGATATATTAACTTAATGAGCCACTTTATTAAACTTATGTACTCTCCATAGTAAAAATTAAGAGAGAATGTTCTACAGCTCAGTTGCAACATGAGTTGTGAAGTAATTTACAATAATTTATTGGAGTGTGTATTACTTTGTGCCAAAAAAATAAGATGATACATAAGCAGACTGTACATTCAACTGGAATCAATAGTTTGTCTCATACAATATCTTCTATTAGTTTTTTAAATTAGTCTATTATAAAATACTTGTGTACGCTGGTTATTTGGTACTTTTTGTTGCTAATTATCCTAATCTTTTATTTTCAAAAGCCAATATCAATTATCTTTGAAGTAAGTCCTTTTTGCTCAGTTACATCAAGCAGAATAGAGAGAAATCAATGGGGAAATATGACATACTAATCATACTAAAAATCATACTAATTTTTAACTTTCTTTTTTATTGTATGCAAGCTGATAAAGAATACAAATAAAATGATTGGGGGAAACCCCTGTGTCTTCTTTACAAACTTTTCCTATCTTTTAAAAAATATATTCATAAATAAATAAAGCCCTCTGTTCAAATTTTGTAGTAAGGTTAACTGACAGGTACATTTTGGAAACAGTTGTAATCTGTCTGCTGAAATAAAGATTAAAAGATCAAGTTTCCCTTAACTTCCAAACTGGTCAAACCACAGCTGGTGCATCAGATTTTGAGCAACTGTTCAATGTATACACAACAAGGCTTCTGTCTTACTGTTGGGTTTGCTCAGGTCATCTGCATGTGGCATGGATTAAAGTAGCTATAAAGCTTTTTTTTTAAATATAAAACTAGGCTAAACTTTGAGATTATAGACGAAACTCTTCTGACACTGGTAAACTTTGCCTTATAATATGTTAACATAATATGTTTTGAGGGATTAAATTCACTTGGCAAAATTGTATGAAGAACGTTTTTGCAACAGTATTGGAAGAATGAAAAAGTTGTGATTTATCCCATGCATTACTAAACTGCATGTAAAAAAAGGCAAAGGGAATAGAAAATAATATGTGGAGGGAAATCTCTCAAAATATCAAGCAAATATGTTTTCAACAGGAATAATTCACTTTCTTGCACCAAAAAAATCTTCTTATATAAAAAAAACTAATTAACAAAGCATCACTTATTAATGCAATTTATTCTTTATCTTCAGAATTGGGTATCAGAATTTTGCTGATAAAAATCAACCAATCTATTTCATTATTTTTAAATAATAAATAAATCTAATAAATAAATAAAAATAATCTTTCAATTATTGTTATAAAGTAAAAGAAACATGCAAATTAATGATACCAAATTATGAAAATCTCTTTCAGAATTGTAGGAAAAAATCATTAAGTTATGTTAGAGAAACACTAGAGTGAATAAAGTATTTTTTTTTTTCATTTTCACAAAGTAAGCTATCCCTAATCATATAAATAAAGCATTTTCTGATAGTGAAATCAGTAGTGGCTATATCAGTGCAGCTTATTAGTAAACAAGGACTGAATTATCAATCATTTTGAA